AGAATGCATTCTGGGTCGAGCTCATAGCATATATATGTCTTAGCTAACTAATTTCTAATAAATAAAATGCAGCGTTTTTCTCATAGCGATGAAAGTGATGACTTTTTGATGACTTTGATAGTTTTAAACTATTTTTACAATTAACAAAATTTATCCTTTTTGCACTTGATTTCTTTATCCAAAAGTATCAACAAAAGTTCAAAAATGTATCCAACCAAATCTTAAATCAAAATATTAATAAATTAGCTTTAAAATACTAAAATGGAGCTGTGGTTTGAATTTTCAAAATAATATGCACATTTTTCTAACTTGAGTATTCAAAATATATACAATTATGCCAAAATATATTAAAAATCCAATAAAAATGTGCTCAAATCATATAAAATTTTTGAGGTTAACAACATCTTTAATAATTTCTCAAATACTCTTCATTTTAAGATTCTAACACATATTCTCCACATCATATAATCATCAAACCAACAACTCATTTCAACCAAAAACATATAAGAGAAACATTCAAAGTTCAACTTTTCTTTTCAAACATAACAGTGATATTAAATTCACATATAGCATATTTGGCACCGAAACATAACCACATAAAGTATTCATCCATATAACACCATTCATTTTTGAAATATAAATCAATTAACAAAAAATTACACATAGTAGATTCCCCTGATTACCTCAAATCTTTAAGAGATCAAAAGTTTTTTCCTCAATAATTTGCTTCCAAGCTTGCTTTTCAAGCTCAAACTGATGCACGAATAATTAATCAAGTCTACAATTATTAACATTAATATAAATACACTTCAAGCTCTTGTTTTTATCACTTAACCCACTTAAATCTTTGTCTCTTACATTCAAACTTGTATACTATACTTATTATCATCCATTTACCTCTATTAACTTCATTAAATTCTCTTAGGGTCATTAATGTCACCCAACAACCCTTATAACTCACATTAAATGTCACAATTTCGACATAAATGAGGCTCACCAATTAAAAGTGTGTAAAACCTTCAATTATTGGTTTAAATATCTCAAACTCCCAATAACTCCGTTTGAGTCAATAGATTCGTACTTATAATCTTTATAGACTAAAAATCCTCTATCATTAACAAACATTAAGCAAAAACTTTAGAAAATGGGTTGGGAAGGAAGAAGAAAGGAGTAAGAGGCTTACTCTTATGTTTGATGACTTAGAAACACCTCTAATCTTCTAAAAATGAAACCCATATAAGAGTTTTCTTTGATTTCACTTTCTTTCCCTTTGTTTTCCAAGCCTAAATCGTGACTTATTTTTGTATGAAATGGGCTGTGCATTACCACACCATGGCGTATGCTAACTATGTCATGGCATGTGACATGCTCTAAGGCAAACACTTAATGTGCCATGGCAGACGATACAAAGAGGTTCTTCCTCTCTTTCTCAGTCTATTTGCACTGTGATGGACTATTCACATGCTGTGGCTTATGGCACAGACTCCTTATTTCACATTTTTCTCCCTTATTTAGGCCTATATAGCCCAAATTCAGTCTTGGATCCCTTCCTAAGGCTATATCTAAGCCTAAAAGGTCCTTTAATCCTCTCCAAATGTCCTTTAAGTCAGTTTTACTTAATCAAATTTGATCATTGCTTTAATTAGCAAAAGGATTAAAATTCAGGATGTTATATATTTCAACAAGAAGAAGAATCATTTTACCATTTTCATTTGTTGGAAAAGCCAAATATTTAATTGAAAATTATGAAGATGCTATGGCCATTTGTAGGGTTATCCAGGCTTATTCATAACATTTACTTGCAATCTTATTGATCAAAAATTTATCGATTTCGTCATGAAAGATCCTTGACATCCTTAAATCATCTAAATATCATTGCTAGGATAATTAAATTAAGTTGCAGTCATTGTTAAGAGTCATTAAAAAAGCCAAAAAGCCTTTGGCATTGTAACAACAGGTTTTCACAATCTCTTGTACTTTATTCATTTTTCCTTTTAGTTCTTTCATATGTTTCCATTTAAGTTATTTAATGAACATTGATGTATCTTGTATCATCTTACTTTTTCAATTTTTACTTGACTATATATTGTTATTTTTCCTTGCAACTGTTTACACCATAGAGTTTCAAAAAGAGGTCTTCTACTTGTACATATTTTACTCTTCTCAGATCAACATAGCAAAGTTGACACTCTAACTTTGGCTGACACGTATATATCTGCACAAATTCTTGCAAAGATGAAGGCCCCCTTTATATGAACTAGTTAAAACTCACACGATTCATAAATCTCATGGAGTTGCAAATCAAAATTCTCCTTATATGAAGGATAATAAATGTAGGAAACACTTTCCAAAGAAATTTCACCAAGTGACTATTGTTGATGACAAAGTATATATCCTACATATAGGGAAAAATAATGGTAGGATGATTGTTTGTCTAGATAATAGATATATTATTCCTTATAATTCATTTTTGCTCATTCAATGCCGCATCAATGTTGAAAACACAAATCATTTTGAATCTATTAAGTATTTATGCAAGTATGTTAACAAAAGAAATGATAGAGTGATTACCAAATTTTACAAGAATGATGGTTCCTCATCAACAACTGCTGTGGAAGATGAAATCAAGAAATAGTATGATTGTCGTTATGTTTCTTCATGTGAAAGTGCCCAGACGATTTTTGGGTTTGAAATCCAACATAAATATAAACGTCCTCCAATTGAACGTTTGTAATTTCACTTGCCAAATGAACAAACTATTTTCTACTCGAACTATGATGAACTAGATGATATCATATATAGCCATATAAATTGTTGTCAAGAGACATGCCAAAAATAAAACGCATCCATAAAAATACAAAAGACATGATGCACCACATTGTAATAGGCTGGAATAAGTTGTAAAGGGTAAGAGCAGGGTTGGAAAGTTTGGACTTGATAGAAGCCTTATGAACAACCCATCCTACTTAATTGTGCTCACAGAGCACTGACTTAAAAATCGAGTTCAAACTCAAACCTAGTAAAAAAATTTATTTTTCTTTATTTACATGATTTACTCCAATAGAAGGATAACTGTGGGTAATTTAAAAAAAAAATCTCCCTCTCCCATAAAGGAAATAAATGTGTTTATTCATTAGCAAAACAGTGAAGTTGTTTATTATAAAAGAAAAAGATAGTCATAATTTTATAATTTTTTTTATTAAACTACGCCAATAAATGTGTCTGAAATGATAGAAGCCTTAACAATAGCCCATCAAACCTATCTCCCATCCTACTAAATGAGGCTCAAATCATGAAGAATGTTCATTGTTTCTTGTCAAAGAAATAATTGTGTTTATTTCTATGCAAAATTATGAAGATGTCTATTCACTCATTCGGAACAAACATGTCTTAAATAATACTCAACTTATGTTAATCAAAAAATGGTAAAATTGAAAAAAAAAATTCTAAAAATTCCTGCAATTAGGACTGAAAGGTGTATATGAAGATTACTGAACGACCAAATCAGTGAAGATCTCACATAAAATTAATTCTAAATTTAAGGAATAAGGAATATCATATTGACAAAAAAGGTTTAGATTTAAGAATCATATCCTCGAAGATTAAACATTAGAAAAGAGTGGACCCTTGGGAACAGGATTCTCCATTGTTCATGAGTGCTCCGTGAAAAGATTCCCGAACAAGGTAGAGAAAACATACACGGTGGGAAAACTTCACAGATTTGAAAGACAAGCAAAAACAAAGCGAGAGAATTAGGTGGAGAAATAAATTTGAATTCGTATGGGTGGGTGGTAGTTGGCCTTTTGACCTTCCACATCTCCTTCTGTAGACTCATGGCGGCACGCCATAGAAAGAACTAATCGGACATTATATAGTATCTATTTTAATATTATTAGTACAAATTACGTAGATGTTCTTTACCATGTTTTGTTTTATCAAAAAATGATTGTAGAAAAGCATCTAAATTTACCTTTTTCTTTAAATCAAAGCAAAAAGTGCGTAACACTCCGGCATCATTCTATTTTGTATTTTTAGTTCGTCTCCAACCCTAATTCTAGTTCTTGTCGTACATATCAAGAAGGATAACTATGGGGTCACCGATCAGGGAAGGAATATGGTGTAGAAATAGTTTGAATTGTTGTCTTGTAGGGCCAGGTTGTTTGTTCGAATTCATTTTTAGGAGCCATGTGATTTGTTCATGTATTGATAAACATGATTACCAGTTGAAGCAAGAGAATATTAAATCGTGTCAGACGAATTATCATGGCAAAGAAAAGCCTGATTTAGAAAATGAGGATAAAGAGCGGAGGAGGTTCTCTCGTCTATCTTATTATTCACTCACTCACGCATATCACCAAACAGACAGTGTACACTATAATTCAAAATGGGATACCACTGGCCCTCATTTAGTCATTTATCATGTCTTGTCTGCAAGATTCTCCACTATTATTTTGCTTCTGAAAGTGACTGTTTTGTCACGCACCCAGGTAAAAACAATGCTAATCTAAAAAAAAAAAAAAAATCTTTAGAATTATCTAGTGCACATACACGGCCATGGTTTCTTTTTTCTTACATATAATCTAACATGCGGTCCCGCGAAATTCTCGATGAAATCCCTCTAGACAATAAAATCTTGATTATTACATTACATATGCATGTTTGAGAATTTTTAAAGTAAATACAGGCCTTTTTGTTTTTCCTTTTTTCTAGGTGGGATGCGACAAGGGTCGGGGAAAAAGCATAAAATCTAGGAGGGCTTGAACTTAGGCTAATTAAAATTTAGGATGTTTGTTTAAAGGCCGCGTAATTTGGTCAGCAGGTTCACATGATTAAGCTGGGAACTCCTTTAGTTAATCAAATGATTGTTACTTAGTGTGCTGGGAATTATAAGTTATTTAGCCTTGAATTCCAAACAGATGCTTGCCGATGGGAGAACTCTGCAGAACATGGTTTATCAGCATTGTCACCAAAGTAACAGCCACATTATCTGCAATGACGTCTGTAATTTGAAAGAGTAATTATATTATTCAAAGAAGCCTCATTTCACGTACCACATTATACACATAAGAAGGTACCTTTCAGCTTATTAGTTTGCATTCCACAGATAAAGTAACGACAATAGACGAAAAAGATCACAAGATCACCAGCCATACGTGAAAACTGACTGAGCGATTTTCAAATGAAAACCATAATAAAACAAAAGTCGTTAGCATGACAGTTTTACATCTAATCGTTCTCTGTCATAATTTTCCATGTGTTTCCAAATACCCAGATAAAGAGGGAAGAGACCCCATAAAAGCCACTCGACTAACTTCTTCTGAGTCATCATATTGTTCTCACTCTCAGGACCAAAAGAAATGAACGAATTTTATATGAGGAAGAAAAACGCCTGTGTCTTAATGTGCAGATCATGGATTTTAATCTCGGAGTCTCAGATCAAAACTCAACTTAAACAGAAAGAAAGCTAATCCCGCAAAATTTAAATAGCCTCTCTAGTCTCTCCATAGATAGATCCTCCTTCTCTTCTTTTTTATGATGTATTCTTATGTGGTCATTCAACTCCTCCCATGCATACTGTTATCTGCAAAATTCATGGCGGAGAATTATCTATACACCATCTTTTTCCAGGTTTCTGGATTTGACTATTCCATCTATCGCTCTCTGGATTTTTCATCTTCATCATCTTCCATGCTGTCCTCTTCAGTTTGGGACAGTCCTCCCCCCGATCCTGAAGTTAACTGGAGGGGACCCTGAGGAGAGCCAGACCCTGAAATGCTACCCTTGGAGGAGTCATTATACTGATCTCTGGACATCCATAAACCCCCAAGAACTACAACAGACTGATTACCAGGTGTAGCTGTGGAAGCAGGAAGTCTTCGGGTGTGAAGTCGGTATTTCTGCAAAAACAACACCATCTTAATCTATTATCCAAACTTTTTTATACATGAAATCTCAATTTCCGAATTATACATATACAATATCAGTTGGTGTCTGAAAAGCTCAAATGTTCTGGGAACCAAACGGCAAAAAAAAAAAAAAAAAAGAGTAAGAGGAGGACCAAAAACTCACTTGTAAATGGCTCTTCACTTCATCGTTGGTCAGGCCATCAACTTGCATGAGTTCTCTAATTTGCTTTGGAGTGGCAGCTACAAAAAGAAACCAGGGTGCCAATTAGATACAAGGAACTAAAACAAAAGGAAGTAACATGATCTGCAGGGGAATAATTGTTTCCTAACATGTACCAGAAGGGACTAGGGAGTAGAAGACCTTTCAACCGGGAGATGATATGCAATGTAAACATCTCCTATTTTTATCTTGCCTAATCACAACGGTACCCAAATCACAGCTCAAAACTTTCCTAATAATTAGATAAAACAAGCGCTGCATAATTTCATACCCACCAAGATCAAATCATTTGATAGTCCTTAATTTCCCAGTCACTGAAATGGAAATTGAGTGTGTTGAAAAGCCCCAAATTAAAGAATCGTAAACAAATTGCATATTGCAGTTTAAAGAAGGTATCAGCCTTGATAATTTCGGTAACGAAACATTAGTAGGATATTAGAAATTGTTCAAATTTATCTAACCTTGAGAACCTCCAAGTTGCTGCAGGGCATTGACAAATCGACGATGCAACTCTGGTGACCAACACCTTCTCTGTTTCCGAGCAGTCTGCTGCTGTCCAGTGCGTAAACTTGGTTGGTCACTGCAAGGAGGGGATGAAACTGCCCTGCTAGATGTTATTCTTGATCCGCTAGAAACAGGGCCCTCCCTCAGATGTTTAGCTCCAGGAGTCACAAGAGAAAGTCCATTAATATCAGACTCTTCCTTTTCTTCCTTGGTTGCCAAAGTGGTCACAGGAACTGGAGCGTATGTTGTAAAAGGCATGAAAACCCGCCTTCCAGTTCTATTTCGACAAGATTTGAAAGGATCCTCTGCCACAGAAGGTTCTTCATCATTTTTCCGCTGACACCAAATAGAAAATTACGTTAGCTCGTCTTTGAATAGTAAATTCACATGATATTTTATTATGATAACAATGATAAATGTAATTCCGCAAACTATTATACCATGTTTTCTAATTTATACTGTCCTGTTTGTTCACAGGTGGGATAACTAGCAGTGTTCCAGAGTTGTACAGAACTCATCCAGTCCTTCTTATCTCGGCATTCCTTTTCTGTTTCGGTTTCCTCCTCCTGCTCACATTCTTTCCTCAAGGGTATAAATTCTTCCAATACCGGCTGAGAATCAGGTATCCTGAATTTGGCCGATTCCTCCTTCAGGACTAAAATTGCTGCAGATATTCACAGACAAAAACGCAACGCTTTGATTAGTCCATGGATAAAAAGTTCGACAAGTAAAATTCCAAGTCTACAACTTGAGGCTCTTTCACTTCATAAACAAATCCAAAAAAAGAATGAGTAGACAAAGCCATGGGAACAGAATTCTAATATCAAAACCTATCATCAAACAGCCAGAAGGTGATAGTGAAAAACCAGAAATGTCTTCATTCAAAGGAAATATTTCATTAAAGGAAGATAGACCAACCATCATTCAAGAGGAGCATACAGAGAGGAAGCTCACGCCTGAAGGCGTCAATCTTCCTCGTTTCCTCTTCCAATCTCTTGACGAAATCATCGAGCCTGGAGAGCTTATCGGGCGCATTGGCGATCGCGGAAACTTCGTAGAGAAAATCAGTGATCGTCTTGGGAACAAAGGTGGGTCTCAAATCCAAGCTCAGTTGTGGTGGAGGAAGCGAGCCCATCATAGATCCTATCCCTAACATTCAGATCTCCCTGAGCTTCCAGGAGATTCTATCAAACAAGGAGACGAAAATAGTGAAGAGGGGCAAATAGATAGAAGGAATTTATAGGGAGAAAGGAATAAAGGAAGAGAGAGATGGTTCGATTGAATTGTTTGTTTGCAAAGAAAGAAAGAAAGAGAGAGAGAATAAAAGGAATTAAAAACAAAATGGGATTCAATGAATGTGAGGAGTAGAAAGGAAGTTTGAACAAAGGCGAAGATTCTGCGGAAGCGAGGAGAGTTGAGAGCATCGCCGAGTTTAGACGTGGTTTTTCCAAAGTCACCTTCGGGTCGTCGCGTATTTAATAATTTTTAATCCCTTGCCGTCCTTTTGAACCGGTTCCGGTTCGGCCTCGTCCCCGCTTTTGAAGAACATAATTTGCCTCAATTTTTTTCTTCTTCACAAAAGCCACTTTCTGTTGTCAAAAATTTCTCCTGAATTCTATCTAATTTACTGCTGCCCGCATGATCTATTTTATATATTTATTTTTTTATATATATAACATAAATATATAAAAAATCATATTATAGTGTGACTCATATTATATATAACATAAATATATAAAAAAATTTAAACAAATTACAAGACTCACATTCTAACTTATCATTGAGGTTTGCTTAAAAAAATTTATGAAAAAACTACTTGTTTTTTAAAAATTACTATTTTGTGAGATTTTATGATATTTGTTTAACATTTTAAAGACAATATTTAGAAAAAGTATATTTTTTATTATTTTAAGAATTTGCTTTAGATAAGTTTTCAAAATAATTTGATGTAATAGCCAGTAGATAGGAGAGAATATCATAAAAATGTAAACATATATTAAAATATCATAAAATTTTAAAATAATTAAATAATAAATTATTTTTATAAAACAAAATTCATGACGATATCATAAAATTTAAAATAACTAAATAATTATTATTATTTTTATCATTGAAACTAAATATAAAATAATATCTAAAATAATTTAAATTTTATGATATTGTCATTGATTTTAATTTACACTGTCTAAAAATCACTTGTTTATTAATTTTAAACAAACAAGCTCTTATTCCATGAAATATTGATATTTTTTAAGACATAAGGATTGTGAAGGACGTGACCACTATTATAATTATAATATATGAATGCTTCTTTCAAAAAAGCAAGAGATCCATAAAATATCATATTTTTTACCAATTAACTCCATAGTAAATGTTTAAGTTTCTGTACTTATACATTAACTTTTATTTGGTATCAAAACACTTCTGATCTAAACATTAATTCGGATTATAATACACAAGAAAATAATATCATTTTAAAAAATATAGTTACCTATAAATTGGCTAAAAAATAAATATTTGTTTTCCTTTTTTTTTTTTCATGCCAGCTTTCGAACCCGTGATTTGAAGCTTGAAACGTAGCAGCAAACCACGCAGGCATGGCTGCAAAAAATTCGTTTTCCCTTAAAAGTGGAGTACATAACAAAGTAGTGGTCGATATTTTAGAGTACGGCTTTTTTATTTCGTGAAAAGAGTACAGCATCATTATATGTTAACGTTATCGTGAGTCAAAAGAAATGCAAACGCTAGTTTAATATTATAAATTGTATTCCAATTTTGATAGCCAAGAATCATCTGTTTTTGGAGCCAACAGAGCCACCATGGTAGAAAATAGGTGCATTAAGATTCCACCATGTGTATTACTATATATACGATTATACTCCCCGACACAATTTTCTGATAATTTATTTGTAATAACTAATGTCATCAATCAAATAAGAAATTGTCCATAACTCTGAATTTATATATAGAATGCCAGGCCAGTGTCTTTTGTATAATTCAAGTTTGATAATCAGATATTTTTTATTGTAAAATACCCGTCCAATCAATGTTTAAGCATATTATTCTTAATTTACTGTTCGACCAGGTCCAAAGAAAAAGGCGTACCAACATACCATTATTCAACTGTACATAGAATGATAGAATCTTGTTCTGCAGTACAATGTGTAATGATCATCGGCTTAGTCAAAAAAGAAAAGAAAATTAAGAGGCAGGGGAATCTATCACCGTAAAGGGAACACTAGGCGAGTCATTATTGGTGAGTGTCATACACATATAGGAGTGCGCTTGGTGAAGTCGTCCTCGAAAAAACTTGGTTTGATGATGCTCGACTCAACTTCGTGTCAGAGCTGTGGAGATAAGGAATCTTAATGTCAGGTGGGACCCATCTTGGATTTTGCCTCCGATTTACATCTGGAACATTACCTTCCACCGTCAATAGAAGATTTTTCTATTTTCTATTGACCTTTAAGAAAAAAAAAAAACTGCATGAAACCTTGAATTATTGCTGAACGGAAAAAGACAAGCCTTTACAACCGTTAGATTCCATTTCTCTTGCCCCGAACTTGGAATCTCTCTCGCTCCACCACTTCCTCTGCTTTTTTTATTTTATTGTTGCCAATTCTGGAGATTCAAGCCTTTTATTTTTTTAGTGAAAATACCCTTTTGTTATTTAAATCAAATAAATTCAATATTAATTATTTAATTTAAAACGGATCACCCCGGTTTCCCGCATCACCACTGGAATTGTCGGATGCTTCCAGTCACAGAATCCACCTCCACAACTGCCACCTCCATTTCCCAGAATGCCCTCAAACTATTTACTTTATTACATCAAATTATTTTTCCCAACAAAACCTACATTACATATTTCTGCCCGCAAAAATACTCTCACAGTTTCAAATTATTAAGAATTTTTTTAAAAAAATTTATCTCAAAATATAAAATATTTTGAGCAGACTAAGGTTTCATTAAATTCATTAATTTTAATATTATCCTCTCTCTCTTTATAATTAATTTTTGTCCTTTTTTAATATATTAAATGATGGATTTTTTTAAAAGTTTATTTTTTATTTTTTAAATATATTTTTTTAATTGTATTTAATAAAATTTATTGATATGTAAAATTTTGTTTAAAAGTATTTTATAATTTAAAATGAAGAGAGTATTTTTTATAATAATGATGAATTATTTTATCTAACTTTTCACAATCTACTTATAAATTTTATTTTCTGAAAAAAATAATAATTTTTGTAATAAATATTGGATCAACTCTTATCCAATAACATGAACGTGTATTTATGTTCTGTTGTGAATGCAAAAATTTTGTTGTTGTTACTACTACTATTATTATTATTATTATTATTATTCTGTAAAGTTAGGGTTATAATGGGGAAATAGGGTTTGGGATTTGTGGAAAAGACGGAGGTGGGGAAAGCAGTCAAAGGGGCATAAGATTCTGGGGAAGCGGCTTGAGAGGGAAGTAATGATGGGATGGAAGAGAAGGCAAGTGATGATGGGGTCTGCGAGGGAGGATGTTTCCAAGTCAGAACACGACATTTGATTGGCTCTCTCCCAAACAAAACCATCGTGGGTGACAGAGAATATTATATAATCTTCCATCTTTGCAGCCTCAACTAGAAGAGAGAAGGAGAGAATTGACAATAATATGGTAGCTTAATTCATGGGTGAAGGCTTGGCCAGCTGGTTGAGTTGACATTCAAAGCAAGCATAATCTCATCCCAACAAATACCTTTACCTTTTTACTCGTGAACATTAATTTGATTAGTTGATGAGGATTTGAGTAATAACTCACAATGTTATATGATCAAATCTTTAATGTTGATATAAAAATTTTATTAATAAATAATTTATAAATATTTTTATAAATTTTTTGTAAGCCTAAATGCATGGTCTGATATTAGTGTGCCACTTTAACCTCAACTCACATAAATTATTTTTCTACAATAAATATATATATATATATATATATCTTCGCCCTTCTACTTGACTTCGCTATCTAACAGAATCAGATTCTAATATTATTAAGTTCAATCGAGGGTAGCTTTCTTAAACATATTTTTTTTATTCACATAAATCAGAACCTGGGATCCCATGCTCAAAGTGCTCATGACATCTTCATCTAAAATCTAGCATATGTTGGCCACAGTTCTTCCTTCTAAAGCGGAATCCAGCACATTTCATGATATCATATCGCACCCCCAACTCCCCACCCTACCCAACTATCATGCGCCTCGATCATCTTCATTCACACCAATGTATATTGCCAATGTTTACTACGTTTATATCATGCTATTTAATTTTGACTTGTCGCATTTAGTTTCAGACTTTACATGATCAGTAGTTCTTGTCTTCTAAAGTTACCTGCTATTGAATAACTTTATCAAGAGGATAAATATGATCTTGTTAGTACTCGCCGTGTTGCTAAAATCTATGGGTATTTTTATTTTATTATATATTAATTATTAAGTTTAACTTTATTTGATATGAGACTTTTCATATTAGCTTAAACTCATCAACACTTGAATAACCTAATATTAAGATAGAGTAAATTATGTAGATTCACGTGTATGCCCTATTAGTACTGTATTTTATAACTACAAAATTATAATCTATCATGCATATAGGCGTGTTTTTGCCAAAAATTAATAAATAGTTGAATCTATCAAATATATTTTTATTAGATATAAATTGAAAATCAAGGACACTCAAATAAATAAGAACTCTGCAGATACCTTATGGCTTATGTGCGCAATGGCTTTCTTTCAGGAGAAGAATAAGGAGACAGTGGCCAAATTCTTTCAAAGAATCTTTCACGTGATTGATGTTCATTCATTCATTGCTGTTTCCGTCACATCCCTAAGAAGGCATCTATTATTATTGTCTCCATCTCATTATTTTTTCTCCTGCAACACATTATACATTGTTCAACAAGGGATATAGTCTAAACTACATTATTTTTTAATTTACGTAAATTATATATGTTTTTTATTTTATTTCAAGCATATTATTCAACTTCTCTTAACCCTTTCTCATCATTTATCTTTTATAATGAAATTTATATTTTCTGTACAAAACAAATTCGGTTTTATTTTGATATGACAATAAAATGAATTATACCGTGTAAAAATTACTTTTAAATCATGTGAAGAGTAAATAAATTTTTCATTTTTCGTAATATGTGTTAAATATTAAAAATACAATGATATCAAAAGAGAGAGGCTTCAACGTAACTTAATAATGGATAGTAATGAAGCTAAACAGTTCATTACTAGATTACGAAGCTATTGGTGGCCTTTTGGGATTGATGTCCCTGTCTATATTCTGTTTTTTGTTTGTGGGGTTTATGATTAGAGTTCTTGTAATAAATCCGCTTAATCT